CATCATTGATAAACAGCTATCTTTCATAACCATTCTTACTCATTAATCCCATAACCCAATTTTTAAGAATCTAGAGGCATATGACAGCCTGTTCTCAGGCTGGTATCTTTTGTGAGTACAAGGGCACCAAATCAAAACAATCTTCAAGCCATCCCAGGCATACTGCCATGTCCCAAGCAGTGTATTATCAACTCTTATTGGTCAGAATGCCCAAGAAATATCCTCAAGCCAAAGCTGCTGCAGTTATTATTCACATTCTGGCATAATACAATATTTACATTTTATATCTTTATAGAACTTGTTTATATGTCTAATCCTGGCATTCTGTTGTTCCTTGGTCATATGACACCACAGTGGCTCTGCATGTGCTAAGTTTTTTCAGAAAAAGAGGACATCTTACTCTTTTATCATCTTTCCACTCCATTCTTTGTTCATCAATATAAGTCTCTTTATAGGGCAGAGGTAACTTTAGCTAATGTAACTTTGTTGCTGTATATACCATGTAATTACCTGAGTGTATAGTGCAAAGAGGTTTGCGATCTGAACTGTGACCAACTCCTCTAGCCCACCAAATCTTGTTGACCTTTTTGAGTTTACTTTGTTCTGAATCTTGTTCCCTTGTAAGTACAGGAATAGATGTTTCAAGAGTGTCTCAGAACCTCATAAATAGACCTCTGGCTTCTTTTATGTGTGTCACAGCCTCCAAGGCTTAAGGAAGACCTTCAAGTAGATAAGGATATCTCCCTAAAGTAGGGAGAATAGTATGTTCAGGACTGTCCTGGGGAAGGTTAAGAATAGCATTCCCGGGAGAAGGCATAAATGAGTCATAAGAAAATTTCCATCGATCCAATATCCCCAAATTGTACAAATATTAAAAGTCTCCCAAGTATGCAACACTGTTCTGCTCTTTCATCTTTCCACAACCAGAGAAATCCTGATCTGACAAGTCTACTCAGGAAGCCAGGTGGCTCGCTGAGCCAAGATGTTTCTCTTTCATGTCTGTCATAAACTCTTCTTTCAATGTGGTCTCTATCATTACAATTCTACAAAGAGTAAAGAACATCAAGATTCCTAAAACTGTTTTGCCTTCAGGAGGGTACTTTGTCATTAATTTTGTGATCAAGAATCATTTCCTTGTTCATACTTGTTCCATGTTTCTGAGGCAAAACACAAAAACCTAATGAGTCATTCATAGTTTGTCAGCCTCTAAAATTTCCCTAAGTTTTTCTTCTTAAATGATTTGTTCCGGATCCTGCATCTCATGCTCATTAGTGTCGCTTAAGTAATGATTTCTATAGAAGACTCAATTTCTTATACAGTCAATTCTCCCAGGGAACCACCGTAAGTTTTATTCTTAACCTCAGCTTTCACAAGAATTATGTTGTCCCAGCTCCAGCCTTCTGTGAGGAGACCTTAACAGCCAGGAGTTGTGCAGCAACTTCATGCATGGGCAGTGCAGGGTCAGTCCAAGTTTTGACCAAGCACTGTGATCTTTGTCAAGCAGCAGCTCCAGGATGCTTGGCATCCTCAGGCCTCCATCTCCACCCACGAGGAAAGGAATCCTGCAAACAGACTGAGAAGGCGAATAAGGTAGAAAAGACCAATTATTAGATATTGATTTATTTACTAACTTACTTAAGGTACTATTTATATTGCCTATTTGCCAAGCATAACTTCACAAGTACTACCTGGAACAGAATGACTTGGAGATATAGCTAAAGCAATGGGTCTTTACCCTGAACAACCTGCTGACTGCCACACAGGCCAGTATAAAATGCTGCTTGCTTGCCCACCCACCCTGTGGTCAGCGTATAAAATGAGAATATAAAGGATACCTAGCATCAAAGCCTATCAGGATCTGTCCTGGCTTAAGTCCACTGGCGACATCTCCTCTCCTCAACTCTGGTGTTGGAGCACTTATTACAGAAAGATTCCTGAAACAACTGAGCAAACTCAGAAGCAGACCTTCCCTGGAAGCCTCCATGCAAGAATGTGTCTTTGTGAGACCCTGAAACAAAGATCTAGCCAAACCTTTACTTCAGACCTCCTGAAATAGAGATACGCATATACTGTTTTAAGGCAAACTTGTACAATGTGGGAGTTTGAATGTAATTGGCCCCCATAAGCTCATAGGGAGTGGCACTACTAGGAGGTGTGGCTTTGTTGGAGTAAGTATGGCCCTGTTAAAGTGTGCCATTGAGGGAGTGGGCTTTGAGGTCTAATATATATACTCAAGCCACACTCAGTGTCTCAGTTCACTTCCTGTTTCCTGTGGATCAAGATGTAGAATTCTCATCTCTTTCTCTAGTGCTATGTCTGCCTGCACACCTCCATGTCCCACCATGATGATAATGGACTGAACCTCTGAACTATAAGCCACCCAGTTAAATGTTTTCCTTTATAAGAGTTGCTGTGGTCATGGTGTCTCTTCGAAGCAATATAAACCCTAACTAAAACATATGGTAATGAAAAACTAACACTGATTATTGCATAGATGGATGGACAGACAAATGCAAAATGACATTAGCTCTAGTGAGCATATGTGGTAGGGATCCGTGCTCATCACAGTATTGGCTCTGTTTGTGTATGCCTGGAAATCTTCCCTAATAACAAGCTTCCACTTGGTGGTCTCAATTCAAAAAAGTGAAAAAGTTCCAGATACGTGTACATTACCTTTTTTGTGTGTTTTGAGGTTTTCTGGGGGCTTTGCTCTTGTTAGGCAAGCGTTCTACTATCGCATTGCTACCCTAGCGCTTTGGAAAGTAATTATACCACAATAAGTTATGGAAGAGGAATCGTCAACTCCAAGCATCTCTTTCTATTTACAAGACCTATACCTGACAAAATTCTGTAACTAGACATCTCACATCTGTGCTGCAGGTATCTTTATAATTTTGAAATGGTTTCACATTTTATTATGCTTTGTTTGAATCTAAAGACAAGTCAAGTGTTTATTATGACAAATTTTTGGTAGCTAATTCCCTTAACAGTGAGACCTCAGGGTGGGGAGTAAAGATCAGTGGTAGAGCCTTTGCTTAGCATGTACGACTGTGGGTTCAACTCCCAGAATCAGAATAAATAAGTAAATAAATAACACATTCTTTTTAAAATTTGCCGAAAGGCACCATGGAGCCCTGACGTGCAGAGCCTTCTTTGGGAACTTTTGGGAAGTCTCAGTGTGATGGACCTAGTTCTTTAAAAGAGGTAGGTACCAGGAGGCCCAGCACAGTGGCAGAACCCTGACAACCCATCCACACCCCCCATCCTACACCACCTGGTCCTCCCTCTAAGCAGACAGCATCAGGCCTCTTCTGGGGCAGGTTTAAAGAGAACTTTTAAAAAGGGTTGGCTTATTACACTTATTACACATTATTACACTTTATTACACTTGAGACTTTACAAGAAGTGATCCTGTGTCCATGTTGCAAAAGTGGTCTGGAGAAACGTCTCAGGGCTTAAAAGCAGTGGCTGCTCTTCCAGAGAACCTGGGTTTGGTTTCCATTCCTCCTCCTCCAGACAGACCCCCCCCCCCCCCCGCCCCGGCCTCTGCTGGCACTGCAAACATGTGATATTAAATCCTTCCACTTGCAGGTTGGGATAATAGTTATAAACCTAGTCTAGAAGCCACCATGATCTCTGAATAGCAGATAACACATAGGATTATAGACCAAAACTTTTTTAATGAAATAGTTTACTAAATTGAGTCTTTTTAAGCTCTACCCTGTGAAGGAGACATAATATACAAGCAAAACACCCATACACATAAAATAAAAATAGATGAATCTAAAAGAAAAAAAAAGTGCCGGGAGCACAAAAGGTAAAGAGGGACACTAAGGGTCCTCATTCACAAATTTTCATCTTGGGCAGTGGCCACCACTTCCACTGTCTATGCATTCTTGTAGGGAATATTCCAAGGATGGTCTCTCAGCTTCTGGACAGCAAGGACAATGGGGAGACAGGACGACAACTCTGAGGAGTCAGGTCTTTCCTGCCACCTTGTAGGTTCCTAGGATCAAACTCCAGTCATCATGCCTGCAGGCAAAACCCTCTCACCTCTAAGTTATCGCACCAGCCCACCTTTGTTTTTTGTAGATCACATGATGCCTTCAGACTGTCTTCTCTATATTCACTATAAAATCCTAACACAGAGGAGTCAAGGTGAAGTCACAGGGCTCACATAGCTGCTCCCTACAGAGCCTTGCTTGCCCTCTCACGGGTCTACACCAAAAGGTGGAATGGTCAGAGGGCCTTGAAGAGTGGAGGAGCTTTGCTTGGTGTCTCAACCATATTGGGAGAGCTTACTGCTCCACAGTACTCAAGAGGAAACCGAAGCAAGGTCACATGACCTATCAGCAGTCAGGACCGGGCATCTTTCCGGTCCTTTTCAGTGTGGCCTTATCAAACTGTTAGCAGGGAGGCTGGAGACCTGGACCAACTAATGCCTCAGTCTTTTCAAAACATTATTTTAGTATTGTATGTGTGATGGGGGTTTACGGGGGCAGCAAGCGTGTGAAAGTCAAAGGACCTTCGTGGAGTCTGTTCTCGACTTCCACCTTTACATGGGTTTCAGGAATTGAACTCGCGTCCTCAACTCTTTAACCCTCGAGGTATTTCTCCCTGTGCTAGTCACTCAACCAGTTCCCCACCCATCTTGGCATTTGGCCCCACTGGCTCCGCCTCTCTCAGAACCAATCCTCTCACAGCAACCCTCCTTCCCCAATCGCCCCGATCGGCCCTCCCACCCTCTCCCCAAGGAACGCTTCATTGCTTTTCCCTTAAGTCACCATCCCTTAGGACCTAACACCCGGTGACCGCCACGGCTCATCTGGGGCTCATCTGGCGGAAGGCGGCTTCCCCAGAAGTGTTCAAATAGGTGGCCTGGGGAGTTGGGGCGGGGCCTCGGGTCGAGCAGGTCCGGGCTGACCAAAGGAGCTTGTTGAGGCTGGCAGGGTGACTGACTGCCTGTGGGTGTTGCACAGACTGTAGCTCCGAGGCAGGACATGAGCTCCAGGACCGCCCCGCGGCTGATGACGCTCCAGAGACACCTGGGCTGGCCGCAGGTAAGGAGTTGGCCTGTACCCTCGGAATGCCTGTCTCGTGTGTAAGGAGACAGGGAGGAAGCCAGGTGAGGGAAGCTGGGAGTGGGGGAAACCAATGAGCCAGAGGCTCAGGAGAGCGGGGTTCTAGGAAGCTAAGGCACTGACCAGCCCGAACTGAAGGACTCATACAAAGGAGACAGAGGGTGGTGCCCAGGTAGGGGCAATGGGGGGCACAGGTCAGCTTTGTTTAGCACTTGGCATCTCATCCTGCAACTCAGCAGTTCAGCCTGCCCCTGGGCAGTAGGGCTGTTTGCTTTTCTCACAAGTCAATCAAAGACCCAGTTGGGCCTGTGCATACAGGCCCCACGGTGATCACCTGACTCTCTCTGCTCAGGCTGGTGGCATGGCCATGGAGAGCAGTCCACTGACTACTCATGTACTAGATACTGCCTCAGGGCTCCCTGCCCAAGGCCTCTGCCTCCGTTTGTCTCGTCTGGAGGCCCCTGGCCAGCAGTGGATGGAGCTGAGGACAAGGTAGGAGGCAGTTTCTGGCCTGGGATCTGCGAGTTAGCAGCTCCAGCAGCAGTGTCCTTCCTGGGTCCCACTCGAGGAGGATCTTAGGCAGTGGTGTTGAGGTGGGTCAGTGACTGGGGGGATCACTGAATGGGACTGAGCATGGTGTGGGCACCAAGAACTGGAAGGCAGGACTGACCACTGCCTACTGACCCCTGAGCCTCCTTTTCCTCATCTTGGATAAGAGGGATAATGACAGTAACTTTTTTTACCAGATATGCATACCTGGGACAGTGTCAAGGAATGTCTGAGACAACTCTGTAGGGTCCTTGTCTGTCAGATTCAGCCCAGTAGCCTGCTAGGAGGGGAGCCAACTAGAAAGGGCTGGTAGAAAATAAAGGGCTCTATCACCTTGTGCCAGACTGAATGGGAGCACTGTATTTCTCTTCTCTAGTCTCAATAGCTGTGAACTAGTACTGTAATTACCCCTTTTATAGGAGAGAGACTGAGACAATAGGGATGAGATAAAAGCTAAGACTCCATTCTGGTCCAGTAATGGGTTTTCAACCTCAGTGAGCCATGCTCAGGCCCGGCCCTGGCCATGCCTCTGGAACATGCTCTACAGGGTGGTGGTGGGGGCCGGGTCTTCCTGTTTCAGGGTTAGCCAGCCAAAGCTAGCAGAGTTGTGGCCTTGAGAGCAGGTTCTATTTAAAGGAGGCAGGCTCACACATCTCCTCCCTTCTCACCTGCCTGCCTGTTGGAACAAGGTGTGGCTCCTCCCCTCCTAGTTCAGTCCTCCATAAAAGCTGCAGAGGTTTATTTTCTCTTTCTCAGCTTTATGATTTTCTAAACAGAAAGTGCAGTGATCTCCTCAGAAGTTGTCACCCCCGTCTGCACTCCCTGTGTGAAACTGTGGGAATCGTCTGAGGTTGTTGGCTTGGGAATCAGTAAAGCTAGGGGAGGGAGGTTTCTCAGCTCTCTTTCGACTTTGTCTCTTCACAGCTACACAAACCTGGATGGTCGCTGTCCTGGGCTCCTGTCACCAGGCCAGATAAAGCCAGGCACCTATAAGCTGTCCTTCGACACAGAGCGCTACTGGAAGGAGAGAGGTCAAGAGAGCTTTTACCCATATGTAGAGGTAAGGGGCATGGGTGTGTGGAGCCGCTGGGCCCTGACTCACTGTGACCACAACCAGGTCCTTCAGCCAGGCCTCCTCCAGGTCAGGGACAGACTGGCCCCATCTCCTCCCAGGGTGGTAGTGAGTGAGTGAACTCCACCCTCCTTTGTGCGCTCAGAAGGTGTCCAGGGACCTGAGGCACCATTATACTTCCTAATGACACACTGAGCTGCCCCTGGATCAGGTGGGTGAGAGGGAGTGGCCAGGCTGCCAGTGTCTCATCTTCCTTTGTGGAAGGTTTTCATAAGCCCAGACTCCAGAGCACTGGGTGTGTTACTTCTGCATCACTGACACAACTTAAGGGTAAATTATTTGTTTGGGCTCATTGTTTTAGCCCACGGTTGCTTGGCTTCATGCACTCACCATGGCAGTGGGGGCATATGGAAGGGGAGAGCTGTCACCTCACACATGGTAGACAAGACGCAGAAAGGAATAATACAAAGGTGCAGATCCCTAGGACACTACCCAGGAACCTTCCTCCGTTGGGGCCTACCTCCAAGTGTCAGTACCCACTAATGATGTCATCACATGATGAGTCTAGCTAACCACAGATTAACCAGCTAATTAGATCAGAGCCCTCAGGATCAAATCACTTCCCCAAAGCCCACCAACCAGCAGCCAAGACCACTAGATCTTCTCTTGGAAACACTAATCAAACTGTAACATCAGGCTTTCCCTAAGTGTCTCCTACTTCTAGGCAGCCACCAAAGCATACCCTACCCCTGGTCATCTGGAAGTCCCAGGGACCTTTGCAGGAAGGACTTGCCATCTTCAGTGTCTTCAAGTGCCTTCTCTGCTTCTCAGGTTGTTTTCACTATTGCGAAGGAGACCCAGAAGTTTCATGTACCTCTGCTGCTGAGCCCATGGTCCTACACCACCTATCGGGGAAGTTAGAGTGACTCGTTACCTGAAGAAAGCCACCTAACTACCTGTCCCTTTCCCTGACTTAGCCAGCCACACAAGCCAACAGCATGGGCTTTGTCCCCATCAAGGGACATGAAGTTTCTGCTTGCTGAAGAGATTCTAGATGCTCTGGAGTTTTCTAGCGGGCAGCTGTGACTTGGATATCAATAAAGAGAGTTCTAACACCTGTAAATCTGAAGGGCCATCATTGGGACAGGGACAATCAACCAGCTGGCACTGCCCCCGATCCAAGTATCTTAGTTTCTTTTCCCGTTGCTGTGATAAAATACTCTGACAAAAGCAATTTGAGAAGAGTTTTATTCTGGCTCAGTTCAAGTTACAGTTCTTTGATGTGGGGAAGTTACAATGAAGGAAGGCTGAGTGAGGGAGCTGGTCACATTGTGGCTACAGTCAAGAAGCAGAGAGCAATGGCAGGCAGTGGTGGCGAATGCCTTTAATCCCAGTGCTTGGGAGGCAACGGTGGTAGATCTCTGAGTTCAAGATCAACCTGGTCTGCAGAGCGAGTTTCAAGACAGCCAGGGCTACACAGAGAAACCCTGTCTTGAAACAACAGAGGAGGAGGAAGAGGAGGAGAGCAATGCACTGCCAATACTCTGCGGCTTTCTCCACTTTATACGTTCAGGTCCCCTGCCCATGGAATGGTCCTTCCCACAATTAACATGTGTCTTTCCACATCGGTTAACATAAGCTAGCTCCCCATGGGAATGCCCAGAGTCCCTTCTCTCAAATCATTCTAAATTTTGTCAAGTTGACAACTTTAACCATCACACCAGGTGATCCAGGAGACCTCTGAGAAGAGGCAACTGAGGTCACAGGCAGGATGTAGGGACAGGGAGAAAGGAATGAGCCCAGCAGCATGATGTAAATGAGTAAAGTAAATGTTCGTTAACAGTTAACCAGACCAGCGCTAATACCTTTGTATGTGCTTGCTCATATAGCTCAGAGGGGAAAAGAGTGAACGGGATTAACTTAGAGCAGAACTGTGGCCTAGTGCTTCCACACCAGACACTTCTCAGAGGAAATGACCAGGCTGCCCTCAAACTCCTAGAAACACACCTGCTTCTACCTCCCAAGTGCTGATGTCAAAGGTGTGCACCACCATCCCTGGCATCAAACCACATCTTACTCCTTTTCCCTAGTGAACACAACCTCTCCTGACTCCTCAGTGACTTTGCATCTTCTCTAAGGCCTGCCTTGGGAAGGACCCAAGTCATATCTGTCCCAAGAGGCCAGATCTGAGGTGACAGTGATGGTGCTAACTTCAAGGGCCTTGCTAGCCCCACACTAGAGTGTCTGAACCCCACTCTGGAAAAAGCACTTGTCTGCTTGCTTGCTTGTTTTTTTTTTTGCTTGCTTGCTTGCTTTTTGAGACAGTCCTAGCTGTCCTGAAACTTGCTATGTAGATCAGAGAACTGCCTGCCTCTGCCTCCCAAGTGTTGGGATTAAAGGTGTGCACCAACACACCCAGCCCTTTTTCAGAGGATGAATTTCAACGGATAGGAAAAGGGACTGTTGAATTGATATGTGTGAAATACTGGGAGCTGAGCCAAACTGAGGAAATGCTCAAAAGGCTCCTTTTTCCCAGCCATGGCTTGGGAACCAACAGTTAAAGGGTATATAAGGATGGGCTGTAAGTGAGAACTTGGAAGCTCAGCCCTGGTTCTTACCCTTCCTATGCCCAGACCACCAAGAATCAGCTAACCATTATGGATATCTCTAAGAACCATATACACTGCAGATGGCCCTACTTTTTGTGGACAGCTACCAGCTTCTGAGGGACAGGTACAATGAGAGAACCAGGATCCAAACTGCCCTGTTGAGAGTTGAGAGACAAGGACTGTTGGGGCAGCATGGAGTCTGGAAGCCAATGAAAGACATTGCCTGTATCCAGAACTCTTAAAAATGGGGGTGATGGAATGTCTAGACATGGCCCCAAATGAGGAACTCCCCCCCCCCATAGAATTAAAGGTGCATTTAAGCCATCCTTGTGAGGTTGGTGCTCTCGGTAAATCCTTTGGCAGACATTGGGCAAAGCACAGACCTCAGTCACCTCTGGAACAAGCTGAGGCCTAAGCCCAGCCCTCTCTCTAGTGCACAGTATAGGTGTCAACCAGGGACCCAGGCATTATTGATTCTTGCCCCCAACTTCAGGAATCTTCTGATGTGTCTATCAATGCCATCAGATTCACAAGGGGTCAGAAAAGATGACAGCCAACACCCATGGACATTGATCTGACATAGCAGCTCCAACTGCCCCAGAGGTCATATCAGCTTGGCAGGGTTGTTGGAAATAAGTTCAGAATCTCAGAGAAAGAGACCATCACTCCAGTTAAAGCACTCCAACTAAGCAAAGCTTCACTTCTGATTAGAAGGCTGTGCCACTCACAAGAGCAGAAGAGCAAGCTCACAGGGCAAGAAGTTCCTTAGGTTTTTATACTAATCAAAACCATTGGCTGGGTCCATCCTCACTGACTCACTGCCCTCCTCATGTTAGCTAGTTTGGTTTTGTCGTTGTTGTTTTTGTTTTGTTTTAATCAGTGCAAAGGAACTGAAGGAAAGGGTCAGCCATTCAAGGCACAGGAATGTAGCAAGCAAGACCTGTGTATAAACAAAAGGTTTACCAGGTGTGGGGGTAGGGGATTAACCAGGTGGGAAAAATTAAAAGATTTTTCTTGTAAAAAATCTTATGAGGTAGAGATTTAAAATTTCGTAAGTTTTATAAGCTGGGAGAGACTTAAATTGCTTGTCATAAAAAGCTTTACAGGTTTTTAAAAATATTTAATGTTTCTTTCAAGGTGAGGGAGGACAGACTGGGACACAGAGGGAGCAGAACCGTAAGTGCACCACAACAGGCAAAACTGTAAGGATGGCTGGAAAGAGGCCTGCAACAGGCACCAGCCTACATGTCAGGCGAGTGACTCTGGACAGGTACAGGCCAGGTCCTGTGGACTGCTCTGTTCCTTCCATTCAGGCCTGCCACAACTGCCTCTTTTAGAGGTGTGTAAGGGAAACAGCCAGGCCCTCAGAAACCCCACATTTTATTACAGTCTGGAGCCTGGTGGGGAAAAAAAAAAAAAAAAAAAAAAAAAACACTTTTTCCTTGAGGAAAAGAGGACCAGGGCCTAGGGAGGAAGCAAGCCCTGGGGAGGGAGCTGGGCCTGACAGCAGCAGGAGGGGGCCCTCAGGGGCCTGAGGGGGAGGGTGGGGCTCCAAAGAAGGAGAAGGGGTATGGGGGGAGGAAGTGGACTGCTGAGGGAAAGTCAGGCCCTGGAGGGAGGAAGCAAGATTATGGAGATGGAAGACACTGTAGATTATAGTTATAAATTGTCATGTGTGGTGAAGTTGGCTCTGGAAGTGGGGTTGACTCCTTCTCCCATTTTAAGATCCATGTCTGTCTCAAAGTGTCCTCCAAGGTCTGGGGATGGGCTGGCTCCGCTCACTGTGACAGGGAAGAAAGAGAATAGCAAAGAAAGTTCAAGAGTTTTAAAAAAAAAATGAAAAACCACTGTACCCTTGAGAACAGCTAGATGTTAGTAACAGATGTTACTATTGTGTCAAAACTAACAACATCCAACAGATGTCACTGTGTTTATCAAAAGTCCCTGCAGTGGGAATAAGCTGGACACCCTGCCAGGGGAAGCTTTGCCTGAAAAGCTCAGGGACAGGCAGTTCAACTGTGACCACATCAGCTCCTGATTTGATTACTTTATCTCCGTCCTTGTTTGTTCTTTTAATTGGAATCCTCTCCTGAGGGGACATTCTGTTCTGCCCAGAGCTGCTCTATTGGGAAACTCCAAATGTTTGCCTTACAAAGGCAAAGTCAAGCTTCTTCTGGATGTTCTGAGTATCTAATTTAATGATGTTTCTCTCTCATTCACTACTTATTGCTTAATAAACACATTGTTCAAAACTGGAAATCCAGCTGGTCGGTGGTGGCACACACCTTTAATGCCAGAACTCACAGACAGATCTCTGAGAGTTCAAGGCCATCCTGGTCTATAGGGTGAGTTCCAGAACAGGCTCCAAAAAAGCTACACAGAGAAACCCTGTCTCAAAACAAACACACACACAAAAACTGTAAATTAGGTTTCATAGATCACTCTCTGGATCATATAAAATGAGAGACAATAGCAGGCACCCACTCAGGCCAAATTGCAGCCATGGTGTGGTGCCCACTGACACATACATGTCAAAATAACTTGGCTACTTCCTCCCCCACACTGCAGTTGGGGGTTTGATGATTTTCAGTATGAGTGTGGATAGGTTACATGACTTAAATATCAGGCAAGGGAGGCAGAGGGGCATTGCTCAGTATTCTCACAGAAAGGTCTGTTGGGTTTTGTGGGGCTGAGGGCTGGGTCTGCATCCATGTGCGCAGCAGCCAGTCCACGTCAGTGCTTTGAGTTGATGAGGGTCACGTGATTGCGTGATTACTCAGCCTGCCTTCTTTTTTTTTAAGATTTTATTAATTTATTATGTATACAACATTCTGCTTCCATATATATCTGCACATCAGAAGAGGGCACCAGATCTCATAACGGATGGTTGTGAGCCACCATGTGGTTGCTGGGAATTGAACTCAGGACCTCTGGAGGAAGGGTCGGTCCTCTTAACCTCTGAGCCATCTCTCCAGCCCTCAGCCTGCCTTCTTATACCACTGAGGACCATTTGCCCAGGAGTTGCACAGCCCATAGAGGACTGATCCTTCTCCTATCAGTTACTAATCAAGAAAATACCCCCCAGGCTTTTCCACAGGCCAATCTGTTAGAGGCAATTCTTCAACTGAGGTTCGTCTCAAGTTGACAAAAACCAACCAGCACAAGACAGTACGAGAGGAGGGGGGCATAGGCCAAGGAGTTAACTGTAATGGCAATACAACAAATACAAGTGTCTGGACATGATTTGGGTCAGGAAGTGTGATGCCAAACAACTTCAGAGCTCAGATACTCAAGGGAGCAAGACCAGATGGTCAGAGTGTACATGAAATGGGAAGTGAAGGGACTACCACTGCAAACACTGTCCAAACACTGTCCATGACTAGAGAACGACCTTGCAGTGGTACCGGAAGAGGTAGAGAACAAGTACTCAGGAGAGGAGAGGACAGGGTTTAGGGCATGTGGTTGCTGATAAGGGCAATGCTGTCACCTACAGTAAGACAGGAGGAGTAAACAGGCGCAGGCAGCAGGGGGACCCTCAAATGCTCTGCCCAAGCTAGCCTGCAGGGTAGTGTCAGCCGGTGTGTGCTGCTAAGGATCTAAGGTATGCAAGAGGAATAACTGAAAACTGGGTACCACAAAGGGAGGCCAGGGAGCCACTTGCTCCACTTGTAACCCAGTGGAGGGCAGTGTAAAGTGACAAAAGCTGGGCCAGAGTCTTTAGAAGAGCCAGTTCTGTGTCAGATCTGGGGAGTGGGGGGATCTCAAAACAGATGTCAGGGTCAAGCCCCTGGAAATGCTACTTGCAAGAGTCAGTTCTCTTCTTCCATCGTGTGAGTTCTGAGGATCAGAGTTGGGTTGCCAAGATTGGCATTGGATCCCTCACTAAGCCATCCATGCAGCCCTCAGAGCCACGCTTTAAAGATGACCCACGAAGAGCCCCACAGTAAGGTAGGAGTCCAATCGGCTCCCACTAACTCCAGTGACAAATGCTGCATTGCACAATTGCTCCCACATTTGTTTTTCCAAAAGTATTTTTATTATGTTAAAATATTCCTATGTGAGCAGCTGTTATTCCTGTGGAAAATTCAGAGACCGACTATTTGCCTTATCCTTGATTGGAACCATAATTATATAAACACATTTCTTCTAGTAGTTTCTGAAGTCTAAGAGGCTGTTGGCTTGTAAATGTTCTGTCAGTCTGTTCCTATCCAATCACAGGAGAAAGTACAGGCTGAACAGTGTTCTCTTCTCTATTTATATCTTTAGAAGAGTTAGAATGCTTTTTTCCCCTGAGTGCCTTGGGTCAGAGGCTTTGTCAGTTTGGTCGAAGGATTCATTGCCAGTATGAATTCATCAATTTTTATCTTTTTGGACATATATCCAGACACCAGCTTTTTCTAGCCTCCAAAGGCTGTGCCTTTCCATGTGATCCTGTCACCAGCTGGAATGGATTAGTGGTGATTTCTTCACCTGAAGCTGCTATGCCAACCACCACACTGACACCACCCCCTGCCGCCCCAGCATTTGTGGGCCGCTCCAAGAGCTGCCTCCTGACCTTTGTCTTGCCAGGACCTCAAGAGAGTAGTCCACTCCCCCACCTCATTGAGTACTTCCTGGATGGGTGTTGGGAGCCAAATCTCAGGGCTGGGCATGAGATCCTAGGCCATGCTTGGCAGGCCACATAGTTAACCTTTACATAGCAGATCTTTAGAACCTCAGCTCAAGAACAGAAACAACTTGACCCAGTCCTCCATCCACAGGCTCAGTCACCTAGGCAACCATTCCTGGACCTCTTACTCATGAACTCTTCACCCTGCCAAACATTCTCTTTATGGCTTCCTAATATCCTGCCTACACTAACACCTGGTGTGCAAACAACCCATTCTGCCCCTCCCCATATCTTGACTATATAAGCTAGCCTGAGAAAAGTAAAGTTTGCCACTTGATCAGAATCCTGTCTTGTGGTCGTTCTTTCTGCATCTCTTGTCCCCATTCCCTATCCCTGACTTTCTTGCCCCAGGTTGACGTCCTGCAGGTCGGGACAGATGGGTTTGCACATTCAGAGGCTCCAAATTCTTCAGCCTTTGCGAATTTATCTTTAGTGATGTCAACAGCATGATCCAGGATGCACCAGCCACTTTACAGGCCGTGATCACTTCAATCCAACACCTCCTATACCAAAGATTACACAGCAGAACCAGGTTCCACCTTGGCAGTATTCACAGCAGCACCACAGCCTGCTGAAATGCTACAACCAAGAAGGCAGATTTATCCAAAGGTGCTGAAGGATCAATTTTAGCAACAGAGATGTCAGTCACAACAGTGTACTTGGAAAATGTGCTGATTCCCATGAAATAAAAAGTAGACTTTCCAGGCTGGAGAGGTGGCTCACAGATTAAGACCAGTGGCTGCTCTTCCAGGGGTCCTCAGTTCAATTCCCAGAAACCATATGGTTCTCAACCATCTATAATGAGATCTGGTGCCCTCTTCTGGCGTTCAGGCATACATGCAGGCAGAACACTGTATACATAAATTTAAAAATTTAAAAAGCTGTGGGGAAAGAAAATTTTTGAAAAAAAGAAAAATAGACTTTACTTTGCAGGTAAATTTCCTTTCCTCTGAATGACTCATCTTCTAGCAAAGGTTTGTTTTAGGATTCAGACAAAATTTGCATTCTCCACACTGTAGGATGTAAATCAGGATGACAGTATCACCTGCTTTCAGCTTAGTAGCCCCATCACCGATATTTTCCATAATTCCAGTACCTTCATGTCCCAAGGTCACCAGGGAACGCCCCTCAGGGTCAGCACCACTTGGGGTATAGGCATCGCTCAGGGTTCAGGCATCGGTGTGCGAATAGCAGTAGCAATGATTTGATCTTTCATGCACCTTTGGGGGTGCTGCTTCTATCTCCTCTATGGAGGAAGGCTTTCTAGCCTCCCAGGCAGCTGCAGCCTTGCACCTGATCATCTGGACCTCCATGTCTGAAAATTCAGGTTCATGTGCTGAATATCCAGAACAACAGTAGCAGAGCCCGGGTAAGGGTGAGGTATGCACGAGAGGAGGGACTCACTCCCACATTTGTAGACTTATGCACAGAACTGGGCTCCATCACTATAGATTAATTTCATGCTAGCAAAGGAAATTAGCAAATATCCATTATAAACAGGAGTCTCAGTAGGCAAGAACTAACATTGGGACAGTGCTTGAGGGGCATAAAGCAGTGCTCTGGGGCTTATGTCCAGCAGAGCATACACAAGGCTAAGTATAAGCAAGGGAAGGGCACCATGATGCCTTGCTCAGACATGGGATAATAGGGCTCATTCTGACTGTGGATAGAGGGAGAATTCTGTGTTGGAGGAGGAGCCTCCTGGGTCTCAGCAGGATCTGCAATCAGCACTACGTAGGAGAGACCATCAAGCCACCAGGTGGCAGCAGAGGATAGGAGAGAGGCAGGACAACGCCCAACCAAAACTCTTCTCGGACCATCCTGTCTTCCCTGGACACTGCCTCCAACTTCAGACTTCCTGTGGCTTCCAGACTTCCTGTGCCCCTGGGTTGTACACACACACACACACACACACACACACACACACACACAACCTTAGAAAGGCCCCCACCCCTCTGACTTCATGTGCCCAGGCTCCTCTCCTGCCTGTAGTAGTGGGTGGCCTCAGCCTACCCCTCTCCAAGTACAGAGTAGGTCTAGGCAGCTAATTAAGCAGAGGCAGGGGTCCCAACCCCAAAGAAAGATCTGGAACCTGTCACTGCATCCTGGAGGTCACCCATGGCCTTTGGCACTCCTCTCTATTAACTAACGGGCATTTGGCTCACCCTGAGTGGAATTTATTCCACTTACCCTAACTTGTTTGCCAACAGCCCCCTTATGATCCACTCAAGTCTGGCACTTCTTGGCACCTGGTGGAGCACAGTGACATGCATGGCCCAGTTGGCCTGACAGGTCCTGATAGGTATGGCCCGCCCCTGGGCAAGGTGCCACCTACTAAAGCATAAAAGCCTGGTATCCCCAAGCAGTTCTTGAGACTGCCGCCATGAAGGGGAGCAGCACTCTTCTGCTGGTGGCTCTAACCCTGCTCTGCATCTGTGGTAAGTCCAGGCCTTACTTCTGCAGGTGATAAGGGGAACCAAGGGGCTGAAATCCTGGGATCAGTTAGACAATGCCTACCGGCATCACAGACCCCATCCCAAAGTGCAAGGAATCTGTTGACCCCAGTCCCAGCCCAACCCACCCTGACCTAACACTAACCAACCACCAAGGACATTGCCATCCACCCTGGCTCAACCCAGCTTGGCCAGACCCTCTGAATCCAGCTAGCTCCTGGGAAGAAATTCCCCTGCATCAGGACATGTCTGTTCTTCCCTTGCGAGGTCAGGAACTCAGAGGGGACACCACTGCTGCAGCTCCCAGTAGTGGTAATGGGGAAGGGATCTGCAGATAGTTGTCCTGGGAGTGATAGGAAGATGTGGGACGGGGAAGGAGATCAAGCCCCTCCCTTGGCACCATATCCCCCTTGCAATACAGGGCTGTCTACAGCTGAGGATAACAATGAGTTTTTCATGGAATTCCTGCAAACGCTGCTGGTGGGAACCCCAGAAGAGCTCTATGAGGGGCCCCTGGGCAAGTACAATGTCAATGACATGGCCAAGGCAGCACTGGGAGAGCTCAAGTCCTGTATCGATGGCCTGCAACCTGTGCATAAAGAGCAACTGGTCAAGCTGCTGGTAATTGGGCTGGGACTCTCATCCCCAAATGTGTGCAGTTCGTCCAAACCCCACCCGTGAATGACACTGATCGCCAGTCTACCCCCCACCCCTAGACCTGCATTAGCAAGCTGAGGTGGGGACCACACAGAGAAACCTCCAGAGTCCCTTAGTCCTGCTTCCCACATAGGCAGTGCATATGCACACAACTCCCCAAGGTGCTAGGAAGGGTAGACCACAGTGTGCAGAACCTGCCTACTCCACTGGTATGCACAGACCTGTCTGCCTCTGGGACTAGTAGCTCTCATTGTTGGTTACCTGCTCTCCTGGTCCCCACACATTTCTCTTTCAGGTGCAAGTGCTAGATGATCAAGAGGACACATAAGCAGGCCTAAGCCACGCTTGACTTCCACAAACGACAGGACCAGCCACACAAGCAGCCATGGATGAGCTAAGACCACTGCTTCCTCACGAGTAAAAATCCCCCTCAAACTGTAAATCAATAAAGCCTCCTGCAGTCCAGGCACTGGCTTCTCTCTCTCTCTCTCCCCCCCCCTGCAACACAGGGGCACACAAAAAGTCCGATCAAAAAGCACCCAAAGATACAGACTCATATGTGGGGTCACTTTCCAGAAGCAATGTGTGAGAGCAGCTTCAGGACACCATGTGAACACAGGGAGGTATCCAGTAGGGGTGGGGTCTACAGTGGTGAGATGGTGGACGCTAATCTAGAAAGGCAGGCCTATGTTAGGATTGAGGACTCAATGAGGCTGGTGACTCCTCAGAGGAGTTATGCATTAAAAAGCCAGGCAATAGTACAGCTAGCTGATACATAGGCACTGGAAGCTTTGAAAACAATCTCTCTTTCCCAAATCACCCTAGGAAAGAGAGCCCAATCTGAGCCAGAACCCTCACAAGGACACCCAGGGTTCTGAGAAGTGGGCTTTGCCAGCAGGGCAGCTGAAAGAACCACAGGGTCTGAGGAGGTGTAGGAAAAGGCAACTTTTCTAGAGAAGCCCACCACAGTCTCCAACCCAACCCTGCACTCCCAGACCCCCAACAGCCAGAGCCTACTGTCTCCATTTCCCCAAATCAGCGAGTTCTTATGGGTCAAGGCTAAGGGAGACCCTGCAACTTCACTAAATCTCCGTCTATCCCAGCCACCAAAATAGTTAAAGAACCTAGAGAGTAAGGGGGTCCCAAGAGAGGTGGGGTGTCTCTAGAAGGAGGGGTTCTCTAGAGAGGGTGAGGGCTCCTTAGAGAGACAGAATTCCCTAAAGAGGTGGGAGCACCTGGGTAGGCATGTGGTCCCTGGAGATGTATGTACTCCCTTGAGGAGAGATTGTTGGAGAGGGTGGTGGTTCCCTGAAGACAAGGTCTCTGGAAAGGGTAAGCTCTGATGAGAGGCCTCTGGCAGAGGCCATTGTCTCCATTACACACACTGTGATCTAGAACTCCTTGTGAGACAAAGCCACATTCTAGAGCTCAGGGGCAGTAACCCCTCCCCAATTCTCAAAACTGGGGGAAAGAGGGAAGCTTTCTCTCCATGCTCCTTTTTAGGGAACTGCCTGGCACAGACGCCAGGGGGACAGGCTACCGGTGAGAAGGCTGGGTCCCAAGCTGCCCTAAGCCCATTCCTGCACGGAGGAGGTGAGGCCTCCCAATTGCTCCCTTCTCACCCATGACACAGCTCAGCCAAGAAGCTCTCCACCCTTGCCAGCCAGCTCTTTGCAAAGTTCTCTGACCTGCCCATGCTCCCCCAGAGCCAAGAGAATAGTCAGTGCAGGGCCAGAGTGGGCAGCCCCTCTGGGCCTACCCTGAAGGCATGACTCCATATCTTGGAGCTGGGGAGGGGTGAGCTCACCACTCTGAATGGGGAACTCCCTCTGCTTGTAACTGCTCGAGACTCCCATGTCTCCATGGGCAAGGACTGGGCCTGCAAAGATGCAGTATCAGCAGAACCAGGAATGGGGACATGAGGGCCAGGAATGAGATGGGACAAGACATCCCAGCACCTGGTCACCCTCTTGTCCATGGACAGAGCCAACCATGGCAGAGGAGATATGGGTGGGAACCTGGAGGCCCCATCGCCCCCGGGGGCCCATCATGGCCCTCTACAGCAGTCCTGGACCCAAGTACCTGATACCACCCACCACGGGTAAGATTGCCTAAGGGCCTGGGGCTTGGTGGGGACAGGGAAGAAGCCAGGAATGGCATAGCCTGGGATGGGTCTGGGCTCAATCCTTAACTCCCAGTAGAGAGAAGGATGTCTTGCTCCAGCAGCCCTGAGCCCCTGTGCCCACAGGCTTTGTGAAGCACACACCCACCAAACTTCGAGCACCAGCCTACAGCTTCCGTGGGGCTCCCATGCTCTTGGCGGAGAATTGCTCCCCAGGGCCCCGCTACAGTGTGAATCCCAAGATACTCAGGACTGGCAAAGACCTTGGCCCTGCCTACTCCATCCTGGGACGCTACCAGGCCAAGACCTTGCTGACCCCTGGCCCTGGTGAGTGACCCCCGACTTCTGCTCCAGGCCCTAATATGCATGTCCTGATATGTGAAGGCCAGATAGCCTCCTTCCTCCTGCTCCTGGGGACACCGTCAGGCCTGAGCAGCAGAGCCTGAAACCCACCAGTCCTCCACTACCCGGAGACCAGGGACAAGGCTCACACCAGTGCTTGAAAACAATCCTGCAGCCAGTATTTCTACTATGGACATCTCTGACCAAATCTGTTCAATCACCATGTTGGAACCCAGAGGCCCTGTGTCTTAACTGTTGGGACATCCTTCGTGGGCACTCAAGTGTTGGGGGTGGGGTGGAGAACCCCAGATGCTTGTTCTTCCTGCACACCCTCTCTCCTCTCCAGGTGATTACTTTCCAGAGAAATCTACCAAGCATGTGTTCGACTCAGCACCCAGTCATTCCATTTCTGCCCGGACCAAGACCTTCCGAGTGGACAGCACTCCAGGTCTGCTGCAGCCAGCCAACTGATAGGATGGAGTTGGGGTCCTGGCACAGGGTGGAGGTAATGGGTCTGCCCCAGCCTAACGTCCCGCATCACCCACAGGCCCTGCTGCGTACATGCTACCTGTGGTAATGGGGCCACACACGGTGGGCAAGGTCTCCCAGCCCTCCTTCTCCATCAAGGGCCGCAGCAAGCTAGGCAGCTTCAGCGACGACCTGCACAAGGCAAGGGTCACCCCAGCTGAGTACAAAGCCTGGTCCCAATGAGCTGTCTGATCTCCCCTCCACAAGACCAACGAATTCCCAGACAACAAACTGCCCTGTTGAAGCTCTTGCATCCCCTCCACCTCTGGGTGCCTGCCACATGCTCAGGCTACATTCAGTGGTGGGGAGAGGCCAGGAGGCCAACTTGGGTGATGTGATGATACTGAGAACAAGCTAAGGTGTTTGTGGGTACTTCCTGGAGGGCACACACTAATTTTAGATAGAGGACATGGAAGCAAGGAAGAAGGGAGCAGGTTGCTTGAGCTACTTAGGGGAGGAAATGTCTACCTGTATTAACAGCTGGTGCAAAGGCCCTGGAGTAGACACACAGCACTCAATAGCACTTCAGGAGTTTGTTGGCCTCACTAGCCCCTGGCCTTTGCCAAAGGGATCAGGATGGTGTCCCAACAGGAAAAGGGGCTTTGCACATACCCTCAGAGGAGTGGACACAAGATTGGCACATTGGGAATGCCACTGCCACAGTGAGGCTGAGATTGATAGTTAACACTCCCACCCCATAAACAATGGGGTGTTGCTCCATGGCTGGCAGACAGCCTAAGTGTCTTTGATGAGTCAAGTGTTCCCACACCTAACCCTACCCTCTGGGGCCACATGCTCTGGGAAAGCCAAGCCTGTCTGTGCCCTCTCATCTTCCAGACTCCAGGTCCTGCAGCATACCGTCAGACTGATGTTCAAGTGACCAAGTTCAAGGCTCCACAGTACACCATGGCTGCCCGGGTGGAGCCCCCAGGGGATAAGACCCTGAAGCCAGGACCAGGAGCTCACAGCCCTGAGAAGGTCCAGGAACTTGAGGGGTCAGATAGGGGTCAGGGGAAATGATCCAGAATGTGTCGGGAGGCCAGCACCCTGCCAGGGTGAATGGGGATCGTGCACCCTTAGGATCTTGTGTATTTCCAGCAGTGGCCCTGATGGTCACCTTTCAGTTACAGGAACCCTGGGTTCTAGCCTTATCCCAGAGGTCAGCCACTGTCCCCAGCAGCAGTTAAGGGTTACCTAGCACAGCATGGCCTTCATACTGGCAACCTTGGCCCCAAGTTCAGGAGGGACTGAGCCCCTCATTCCAACCCCAGGCTGAGAGTGCTCCTCAAAATCCTTGTCCTCCTCCTAGGTGATCTTGAACAAGCCTTGTGCCCCCATTGTCACCTTTGGCATCAAGCATTCTGACTACATGACTCCTCTGGTTGTCGATGTGGAATAGCCCCCGCTCTCCAACCCATCAGCCTGTGGTCACAATCCTCCTACAGAAATGCACTGGGCTGACAATGGATTGGGCACTTCACCAACAAGTCCACTGCCAGCCTGGCCCTGCACCACACAGCACACTAGTTTGGACAGTTTTGACAACTTATTTTTTTCTATACTATCTCCTGTTTATTAATCTTGTTTCCTGCCATGTCCAAATTTTTAATAAACAGATTGCATTTGTAAGGGCTTATCTTGTAGAAAAGACAAAAGCTTATCCAGAGGGGCCCTGAGTTGGCTTCCTGGCATGGAGGTCCTACAGAGAAAGTAGAAGGGCTGGGGGCTGAGTTTGCTCCGAGAGCCAGCAATCCAAAGCACATTGATAACGGGGTCCATCAAAAGTGATGACTGATGCCTGGTGTGTGTGTGTATGTTGGAAGCTCCATACATGCAAGGTTAGGCAATCACCCTACACAGACATAGCAGCCAGAATGTGTGTGTGTGTGTGTGTGTGTGTGTGTGTGTGTTGGAAGCTCCATACATGCAAGGTTAGGCAATCACTCTACACAGACATAGCAGCCAGAATCTCAGCACTGGCCTGCAGGCTTTCAAGGAGACACACCTCCAGCCTACCTGCCAGGAAGGCCTGGGCATGGCAGAACACATGGCCATTTCCACTGTGCTGCCTCAAGTTCTGACCACAGGACGTCCAAATCTTAGTGGAGCTTGTTTCCACCCCCAGCCAGTAGGAGGATGTGTGCAAGAGCTGGCATCTCCGCTGGGTCTGAGGACAGTGTCTACAGGGGCTCTCAGAGGTCCAGAGAAGCAGGGGTGCAGCATCACCTCAACTTTGGGGCAGTTAGTGCAAAACAAAGTGGCTTATCCAACACACCACTGGGGACCTTTACCTACACAAGCCTGTGTGTCCCAGCCAACTTGTCCTTACTTCCTCAGCCCTTGGGAGGTTAACACTATCTGGGTCACTACTCTCAGACTGGCAGAGAGAGGCCACACAGAAGGAAGTTAGTTGGTGGGTCTGTGGCTGCCCTGCCCAAGGGAGACAAGGCATCCCTGGAAGATGGGAGAGTGGACTTCAGTGCCCAAGGCTAGCTACAGCCTAGGGTTGGCTCAAAATAATGCAAATCCCTGGGAAATGAGGACAAGGAATACACTGTGTCCAAGATTTTATTAGCAAGAGGCCTTGAACTGTAGGATGGACCTGGTAGTTCATACACACAGCCCCTCACACTGGGCACCAAAAGTTTCTTGTGACTTGTGCTGTTGAGGACCCACCCACACATTAGGGGAAACAACAGGTGTACAGGCCTGAGTTGGAGGACATGGTTACAACCTTCAGGAAGTTGGTCTGACCCAGTGGCTGTGGCGTTGGTATCCCCCTTCACATGATTGATGCAAGAACAACAGTTAAATGTCACAAGTGCTACAACCCTGATGCTCAGAGTATCTGGAGAACCTCAAACGGCCATGGAGATAGGTGGAGCAGGGTGGAGACCTGAAGACAAAACTAGTCATGTTGGGGAGGGGGGTGTATCTCACAGATGGATGGCAAGGACACTACTCCAGAGGAAGTTACCCCCAAATGCAAATATTTACTTAGTTTGCACCAGCAAGATGAGCGGGTTGCTGGATGTCCCTGGTGTCTCAGGAAGCCAGGATTGAATGCACATGTCCGTAATGCCATCATTCTAAGGCCAGAGGATCATGGGTTGAAGACCAGCCTAGGCTACATAGTTTAAGAGCAGCCTGGGATGCACAGCAAGCCACTATCTTACAAAAACAAAATACCTAGGGTTTTCCAACATGCCCAGAGAGTAGAAGTCAGCTGCACGTGGTTCCAGGAAGACAAAACTGGAACATGAACATGCCTGCTGTGGGTCCAGATGGAAGAAGAATGCAGGCAGTTATTACCATGCTTGGTGACAAGCAGAGGGCCCACGGACACTGGAGACACAGACAAATGGAGTGCCTGCAATGGGAGGCCTATGAATGAGGCACAAGCTAGATGAGCCCAGCTGGAAGTGTGAGGAGGCAAACAGCAAAGCTACAGAGCAACAGTGTGGAGTGATCTGCACCTAGTGGGGGAAGTAGCCAAAACAAAGGATAGGCCAGGATGGGCCCTTCTCCTACAGGTTTAGGGCTCAGGCAGACGCAATGGAAGGGCCAAATAAACCTAAAGTCAATGTGTGCAAAGAAAGGCTGCTCCGTAAGGGAAGAAGGGAAGGTGCCTAGCACATCAACGGCAAGGCATTGCTACAGGCAAGAGGCCAGGCTATGACAGACTCTGGCTTAACCTGGAACTCGGAGGTAGTGTGGTTCTGGACAGACAGACCTCATAGTATGGCCACATGGGTGGGCAGTGAGCCAGTCCAGGGAGGGAGGGAGAAAGGAGAGAGAGAGAGAGAAAGAGAGAGAGAGAGAGAGAGAGAGAGAGAGAAGGAGGACACAGACATGAGAAGGGCACAGAACTTCAAGGTTCATTTCTTAGACATTTTATGTGAAAACAAAAAGTGCTGGGCTCTCAGAAACTGTTGGCCCCGTCAGCTCCACTGGTCAGTTTGTGTACAAATGGGACTGGCCAAGGAGGAAGGGAGGATCGGGAGAGCAGGGAGACACAAGTCTGTGGAGTTAATTATGCAACAAGAAGGTGGCTCAAGCTCCTCCACAGCATGGGAGACTGGCTGCACAGAGTAGGGCAAGGTTCAGAACAAGGTCAAAAGTTCCTACTATAAATTCTTTCATAGGTGGCTTTCTGCCCCGTAAGGACCCCTAGCAGAAAGACCACTCCAGTACCACCTGGCTTTGAAAAGCCACACCATACCATTTCTCAGCCTGTTTGCCTGGGGATGGATACATCTTTGGCAGTGAGAAGATTACCAATCCCAAGGAACATATTTCAGCTCCTAGACACATGGTCTTACGGCCCAGAAGGATCTTAGTCCAATGCTGATAACAAGGGCTGCAGTCTACTTCTCAATCCATAGCTTTGCCTCTTCCCTGGGCTCTGACTTCAGCCGGTGACTGGTGGGTATCGCCTTGACTCTTGGCCTGCACAGGTCCATTCCTGATCAGCAGCCTCAGCCTGGAGTTACTGACATATTCATCCTGATGACCAGCATTTGAAGAAGGTTTATGGCCCTATCCCCTTTTGGTGTCAGCTCCAGACTCCTCAAGAACACAGATAGTCTTAACTAGGCATAGACAAGTTAGGGCAAGACAGAAGATCCTTAAAATGCTGGCTTCTGAGGCTGTCGGCCACAGTAGGCAAATTCAGAACTCATGGATGCTTTGCTTAGATCTGGTTCATTCTCATACAGTCTGGCTCTGGCTCTGGCTCTGGCTCTGGCTCTAACAGTGTCTCCAGCACCAGGGAGAAGGGTTGGGTTTTGCCTTTTTCTTCCTCCTTCATACACAGGACATGAGCTCATTATGACAGAGGCAGCTGCAGTTGTCCCATCTTAGGAAGATGAATGACCCATGATGATAATTTCAAAGGAATCTATTTTGTAATCAGGTCCTCAGGAAACCAGGATACCAGGTGTAGGAGAGCCTGGCTGCCCTTGGCTCCCATTGGCTCACGTCCTTGTCCTCGATAAGAGGTGATAGAGGATGAAGAAGGCCACAATTAAGACCATGGCCATACCACACAGAAGCTTCCGGTTGTCTCGCCCAGACCGTGCCATTGTGGAAAAACGCTTCACACTCCCTGTGAGTAGGCCAGTCACACTCGTGAAGTCTGAGTCCTGCAGGAGGGACCCAACAGGATCACATAGAGGTGAGACCCTTGACTACCCAACCACACTAGCATTAAAGGGTAGAGACAGCAGAGCAGACAGCATGGGGACAGAACTGACTGTATAGCCTGTATGTACTACAGATACTTACCATGCCATCTAGGTATCGGTTCTGGTCTTCTGTGTCCCTATCGATGTCCAAGGCCAGCTGGTTGGGATATAGAGAGAGCAGAGTCAAGCAAGGACGAACATGGATGGCAGCACCCATCTTCTCTTCAGACCAGCCGGACTTTACCCACAACCCTGCTAGATACCACCAGAAAAAGCTACAAAGGTCAAGATATTACCTGAGGCATCACTCAAGTTAGCATGTCCACAGACAACATATGGCCTCCTTCCTACCGTCTTAGCCCCACTCACCAAGGTACCACACGTAAGGGAAAGGGGCCATCACTGACCGATTTGAGCCTGGTAACCTTGGAGGCCAGGCTATCAGCCATCCGCTTGTTCTCTCGGTCTAGAATCTCCTCCACAGCACCAGAGCTCGGTGCTGCAAGAAAGAGAGATTGAAGGGTAGTATTCGCCCATGACTGTGGCCCCTGACTCCTCACTCCAATGGAGTATGACCCAGTGAGACATCTAAGGAGATATGGCCCTTATATGTCGGCTAATTTAGCAGGCCCCACCCTGAGTTCCAACAGGTGGACCACCTATACACCGGCCATGTGAGCATATGTCCTGTGTCCATGCCCAAGCAAGGATAGGCAGGGAGAACCAGCAGGCTCAATCTATACTACCCTGCTGCATACTGTTCCCAAACCTGAATGAACACTGCCTTCGCTGAAATTACCATCTGTGGTTGTGGCACTGATCTCCAAGGAAAAGAGTAAATTCTGGTAGGGGCATAGGAAAGACAGAACACTCAAACAGGTCACAGGAAGGCTGTGTCCTGGAAAAATGTAAGAAACGTCTTTTACTGAAGAAGCTATGGAGCTCATTTCTGCTACCCACACAGGACCTTTCAGAATCCCAGAGTGTTGCGCCTGTGGAAAACTGACTCCGATGGACTGGGGCTAGACATGAAGAATTTTGGTCTCGGTACACAGGTGAAAATCACCTCCCTAGTGAGACTGGCACCGGTCTGAAGCATAAAAAAACACCTCGATGTGACCCGCCAATGGGGAAGGCCAGCAGCAGCAGCAAACACATGTGACCAGACCCTAAAAGAAAGGACTTCTGTGTCCTGACAACCACTGCATAGTCATTAGTGTGGCCTTGGCATCAGTATCACACCTGGCATACCGAACAGAGGCACCGAGAGGCCCCGTCATCGGTAAAATCCTACTTGGACCCTGTGCTTCAAGCTCCTGGCACCAACCACAGACAAAATTGATGTCATGCCCAGGCTTGGGTCCCAAGGCGGCGCCAGCCGCAGTCTGTCTCTGCTTTTCCTGGAATACGTAAGCGCCACCCCCCACTAAGGTTCCCTCCACCGAGAATAGAGCGATGGCTCCAGCTCTGGACTTCACTTCCTATCCCCCTACCCTCGGATGCCCTCACCGCGAGTCCAATCAGCCATCTCGCCCTCCAGAGCCCCACTCTGGGACACCGCAGCACAGCGACGGACGTGGCACCGGCTCCTGGAAGAGGCTTCCGGTTCCGCCTCAGGTATAATAACTTCCGGGAGAAGGGACTGGAGCGGAAGAAACAAAACTGAAGTTGTTCCATGGAATGTAAATAAGGGAAGGGCGGGCCGCCTGCGTTCGTGCCCGCGGATTGGCCAGCAATAGTAGTCCCGAGATGTGGGTGGTACCCGGAGCATGAGCTCGGGCACAAACCGGGAGCTGAGGCTGGAAACCGGCTCGGTAAAGCTGCCGGATGCCTCGGGCGCTGCGGAAGCCCGAGTGTGAGAACTACAAGATGCGGAGGACGGACAGAACTGAAGGAGACTGGCGAAGGAGACGCCAGGGCCTGACACCGAGCAGGCGCAGGGCACGCGCCGGTTAGCTCAGCGGGTGGCAGATCATCCGCTGGAGCATGGCTTGTGTGTCACCGCGAGGTACACTCTCACCGACCATGCCTCCAGCCACGCGGAGTGCGGACCCGGCTCCCCAGCCACCCACCCTCTACCCAGCGTTGGAACGCCTCTCACACTGACGGGCCGCGGCTGGCCGCCCCTCCATTGCCCCTCCCATGGGAGTGGCTTTCTCCGGGTGGTTTTCGCTTCCCTCTGACCCTTCCTCATACACTGGGACTTTCTTTTTCCTTTGATGGCCACATTGTTTTTGATGGTTTGGTCTTTCGTTTGTTTTAAGGACGGTCTCACTATGTATCCCTGTCTGGCCTAGAACTCACAGATCTGCCTGCTTCTGCTTCTCGGGTGCTGGGATAAAGGCGTGCGCCACCTCGCCGAGCTATCCGCTTTATTTTGACCACCCGAGTCGTTGTGTTTGTCTTTCCCGCGGAGCATGAGCTTCAGGGTCTGGACCGTGGGGCTCCAGCTGACTAAGCGACCAGAAGATAGTGCTCCCTTCATCTCTCTCCCTGTTCCCTGACCGGTGCGTAAGGAGGGCGGTCCATGCGGGGGCCGAGACCCCACCTCCACGCCCCACGCCTGCTAGAGAGGAGGGAGAAAAGGGGGGCGAGGGGATGCTACTTGGCTAGCTAGCGCCGCTGTTCCAAGACGAGCCGCTCGGCGATCGCGGCCAGGTGGGCTCCACCTTAAACCGGAGGCCCGCCCCACGCCTGTGCACACCCTTTCTGCTCGGCTGTGCTCCCGGCATCCCTCACGCGTGGACTCGGGGCTTCCGGACCTGGGCGGAGCCCGCGGGTTTGGCCGATTGCGTCTTCCCAGCCCAAGCCTTCCAGCACCCGGTGCCAGGGGCCATGGAGCCCCGGGCAGTTGCGGATGCTTTGGAGACGGGAGAGGAAGACACAGTGACAGAAGCTCTGCAGTCGTTCAACCGGGAGGTGAGAGGCACCCGGCTGCTGAGGAAATTTCTTGGAGAGAGGAAGCAGTGGTGTGCGCGCAGCGCGGCCGGGGTGTGCGTGCGAGTGTGGCAGGGAGCACGGCCTTGGGAGGCGGGCTGGGCCTCGGGGGTTTCAGTGGTGGGGCAGGTGTAGGGGAAGCGAGGGTGGTGGGCCCTGCCTTGCGTTCAGAGCAATGGCTGCTGCCTCAGAGGTAAAAGCAGACCGGCTGCCCTGACTCGAGGAGCACAGGTCCTACCTGCGCGTGGACTTGAGCCTACTGGGTCTCCTCCCTGCAGCACTCCCAGAGCTTCACCTTCGATGATGCCCAACAGGAGGACAGGAAGGTAGGTGCCATCCCAAGGGGCTCCTAGGGCAGGCATGGGCTGCCCCAAGAAGAGGGACTGGTGGATCCACTTTTGTCCCTCCCCACAGAGACTCGCAAAGCTGCTGGTCTCCTTACTGGAGCAGGGCTTGTCACCGTCACACCGTGTCACCTGGCTGCAGACTATCCGAATCCTAACCCGAGACCGCAGCTGCCTGGACTCATTTGCCAGCCGCCAGAGCCTCCATGCACTAGCCTGCTATGCTGACATCACCATCTCAGAGGAGCCCATCCCACAGCCCCCAGACATGGATGTCTTACTCGAGTCTCTCAAATGCCTGTGCAATCTCGTGCTCAGCAGCCCCGCAGCGCAGATGCTAGCAGCAGAGGCTCGCCTGGTGGTGAGGCTAGTGGAGCGTGTGGGACTGTACCGCAAAAGGAGCTATCCCCACGAAGTCCAGTTCTTTGACCTGAGGCTCCTTTTCCTGCTAACTGCCCTTCGCACTGATGTGCGCCAGCAACTGTTTCAGGAGCTGCACGGTGTGCGCCTGCTGACTGAGGCGCTGGAACTGACGCTGGGGGTGGGCCCCAAAGAAAAACCCCCGGTGGTACTTCCGGCCCAAGAGACAGAGCGGGCCATGGAGATCCTCAAAGTGCTCTTTAACATCACCTTTGACTCTGTCAAGAGGGAGGTGGATGAGGTAAGTTGTAGCCTGAAGTCATGGGTGGGACTCAGCTCAGCTGGGACAGTTTTGTGGTTTTGCTTCCTTCCTGCCTCAACTTCCTGGGTGCCAGACATGGCAAGGATAATGGGACATCAAGGCAGGGAATCCAAGGAAGGTTTCTGAGCTGTGTTGTGGGGGTGTGTTTGTGGGAAGGCTTTAGGTGGCCAAAGGTCACCAACTGTGCTGTGGACAAAGCCAAGTGATCAGCTCCATGTGGCCCTGGAGCACTGGAACAGGGGACTCCTCCTTACAGGAGCCATTTTCTGTCTTTGGTTAGGAAGATGCTGCCCTTTACCGGTACCTGGGGACCCTTCTGCGGCACTGTGTGATGGTTGCTGCTGCTGGAGACCGCACAGAGGAGTTCCACGGGTAAGGGGCAGGACTTACCGTGTGTTGACAGTGGGGAGAGTACTTAGGCATGGGTACCCTAGTCCTCAGCCCTAGGTGTCAGTAGAAGCACCAGGTCCCACCGTAAGAGTATGACTGTCAGAGGGATGGGAAACCAGAGTGTTCCCAGAGAGCCCCAGGAACTCAGAATATGACTAGGGGAAGAGCTAAGGTGGAAACAATGGTGGCCCTGGCATTGTAAGGCAATGGTGTTCCTGCTGGTGGTGACCAATAAGTACCTCACCTGACTTGGTATCTCAGCTCAGACAGAATGGGACAGGCAGAAGTTTGTCTCCCCACCAAACTTGAATGGAGTACTACCTGCCCTTGCCTCTAGTCCTCGGTGCTGTCCTCAGTCCCCCATATCATGTATACCCCAGGAGAGGAGCCGGGGATTACTTCTGTGCTAGAGTTACTCTGTCAAGGCCTCTGTCTGTCCCCAGCCACACGGTGAATCTCCTGGGAAACTTGCCCCTCAAATGTTTGGATGTCCTTCTCGCCCTGGAGCTACACGAAGGATCCTTAGAGTTTATGGGAGTCAATATGGAAGTGATCAGTGCCCTTCTTGCCTTCCTAGAGAAGCGTCTGCACCAGGTAGGTGGAGGACCTGCTATGTTGTGGCTTCCATTTCTGCACCAGGGAGAGAGGTCAGCTTGAAGGTATAACTTGGACAGTTTCTCTGGTTGCTCTGTGGCCCCACCAGAGATAGCTATTCAGTCAGACCCTCTCCGAAGCTTGTGGATACAGCTTGTGTGTGGACCTCAATGCTGCTGATTCCCAAAGAAAAGCAGGCTTCTCAGGGTCTGCCAAGGTGAATGTTGTCTTTTAGGTCTCTGCAGTTCCCTGTTAAGTGATTCTCAGAAGCCTTTGGTTCCTGCTTCCCTAATGTTCCCATATATTGGCAGCCATAGGTGACAGCATTAGTTGTCCTGCATCTTTTGTTTTTTGTTTTTTATTTTTTATTTTGGTTTTTCAAGACAGGTTTTCTCTGTGTAGCCCTGGCTGTCGTGGAACTCACTCTGCAGATCAGGCTGACCTCAAACTCAGAGATCAGCCTGTCTCTGCCTCCCAAGTACTAGGATTAAAGGAATGACCCCAACCCCCACCTCCACCCCCACCCCCGTTGTCCCTCTGCATCTTAAGGAGACATAACCAAGGGTTACCTGACACCTACAGTTATAATATGGGACCAGAGAGCTGGTGATCTAGCCTATCCTGTGGAGCTCACACAGATGAAAGCCATAGATAGAGGTTCATTAGATCTCCGAGGAGCCATAGGGTGCTCAGCACCTATGAGCTGGGTGAGGACAAAGAAGCTAGTGTTGAATATGCTAGCTGTGACTGCCTGCCCTTATTGCTTTAACAGCCAGGATTGGACTCCAGGGAGATAATGGGAAGGCAGGGAAGGGATAGGTACACTGCTTGCTGTCCATGAAGCACTGTGGTTAAGGATGTTAGTTAGTGTTTGCTTTTGCTGTTTCTTGAGGGTAGTGTGTATCTGATGTGTGCAGACAGCTTCAGATGCTTTTATTTTATTCATGGCTCTGGCTTATAGTAGCAGCAGTTAGTCTTAAAGAAGTAAGTTGTTTGACCCAAGTCACAAAGCTTTCCAGTCATTTCCAAAAGTAGGTCCTGTCTCCATTACTTTTTCTTTTTAAGGCGTTCATATACCCTATGTAGACAAGGATAACCTTTTACGTCTCATCTTCCTGCCTCCCAAGTGCTGGGATTGCAGGCTTGTGCCACCATGACTGGTTTAGTGTTTCTATGCTTTCTTAACCCATCATTACCATTGGCCCTTAGCTAACTTACTGCAGCATGGCCTCTTTGGAAGAGTTTGTTGGCAGAGCTATTTGGTGAAGTGTGCAGTATGCCCCCATCTTCCATGGGGAACATATCACAGTGACAGAAGCCCTCCTTCAGACCCACAGGCTGAAGGAGTGTGTGGCACCTGTGCTCAGCGTATTGACGGAATGTGCCCGCATGCACCGTCCTGCCAGGAAGTTCCTCAAGGCCCAGGTACTTGGAAAAGGAGACAGAGCTGGGGTACATGGGTTAGATCCTCTTTATAGGCTGCTCCTGGCTGCTGTAAGCCAACACTTAGAGACAGCTGCCTCCCCAGGTTCTGCCCCCTCTAAGAGATGTGAGGACTCGGCCTGAGGTGGGGGACCTGCTTCGAAACAAGCTTGTCCGCCTCATGACACACCTGGATACAGATGTGAAGAGGGTAGCTGCCGAATTCCTCTTTGTCTTATGCTCTGAGAGTGGTGAGTTGGGGGAGCCCAAGTCCCAGGCCTTCCCTGCCTCAGCCATATTCACACATTGACCTCTGCCCTGGTCTTCAGTGCCCCGATTCATCAAGTACACAGGCTACGGAAATGCTGCCGGCCTCCTGGCTGCCAGGGGCCTTATGGCTGGGGGCCGGCCCGAGGGCCAGTACTC